GTGAAGAGGGGGGAAAAGCAAAACAAAAAACAAAAAAACAAAACTCTAATTTGTAGCATTTGCCAATATCCTTGGTGTGAATATTCCCATTGTGCTAGATTTCAAACTACCAACATAGTATTAACCAGCTCACAAAATTCCTGAAATTTTTATGCTCAGCAGGTACAAGCACACCACTGAATGTATACCTTGCACTTGGTAATAATTTAAGTTTACAATGCTCCTTCATATTTAAAACACTCTAGATGATTCGGTGGTATTCTCCCAGCTCATAGGTGAGGGAAAAGACACAGCACCCCAAATCACACTGCACATGTGGCAGAGCTGAAGTGCTCACATGAGAGCCCCCACCCCAACCCTACCACAGTTTGCAGCATCAGGTGTGTAAGTGCCTGTATCTACATCCTATAATATCCCTCGGCCTACCTATCAGCTAAAGGGCTCTAGTTTGGTTAAGAAACAATAACAAAGACCAATTCCTGTAAACTCAGTCAAAGTTGCCTAATAATTATTCTATAAGGTATATTCTTCTATGACAGTAGTAGTACATGGTTATTGTTACAGCTTAGAATACAAATTAGTACAAAAAAAGAAAAATCACCCTTAATCTCATCCTCAAGAGATAACAACTGTTTGAATGTGGGTGATAATCTTTTCAGAATATTAGACACACAGGGTGGGGCAAAAGTAGGTTTACAGCTTTGAGTACATGAAACACAGAGTTTATTCTTGAACTATCATTTACTAATTATTTTATTATTTTCCATGCAAACAACTGTAAACATACTTTTGCCCCACCCTGTATATTTTTTAAGAAGTCATGCTATTTTGCAATATAAAGACAGTTTTCTTTATTATGTAAATTTCCCAAAACATAGAGACATAGGTTGAAGGTTGGTATAATGAGCTCTGCTGTGGCCATCACCCAGCTTCAGAAATTATCTACAGACATTTAAAAGTCAGTGTTTCCACTTCCCTTCTCAGGGAGGAACGTGTAGGAGGCAGGCCTCTCCCTCTGGCTTTCCCCTCAGACTTCAGGCTGAGTCAGCCAGCTCCTTGCAGTGCTGCTGGGAGAACACTACTGAAGAGAACTCTTCATCATGCCACTCTTCTCATGGGTCCCTCCAACTTCTCCAATTCCTGTCTTGTCTGTCAAGAAGCCTCAGAAGGAGGGTTCAGAGCTCATTAAATACATCACAATTCTTGGAATTTCCAACTTCTACTAGCTCCATTCTTCCATGTCTGCTTTGCCCTCATGTCTAGGTGCACGCACCCCATGGGAGGCCCTGCTAACTGGTTTAACTAAAATCCTAGGACTGTGTTCATCCTCATCTTGCCCTACTTAGTACCCAGCCAACCCAGCAACTTTCAGACCTCACTTCCTGGCACTATATCTCCACAGGCACCAGCCCAAGTGAAATACCGAAAGACTGAAGGATAGTGGCTGCACCCCAAATTAACAGCTTTGCATGAGTCCCCAAAGTGCCCAGTTGAGACCCACACCCAGAGTCAAAAATCTCTGCAGCCCAGACAAGTTCAAAGAATAGCCTCATGGGACAAAACAAGAACTGCTCCCCAGGGCCCCAGTTTAGCCAAGTGCCTGCAGGAGGGAGCTGTGGATATTTAAAGACTGAGGAATAGAATACTACTCTGCTATAAACCATGCACAGCTGACAGAAAACAAGACTATGCTGGGAACCACGATTAGAACAAAACTTCCAGGGGAAAGTAGCTAAACTCATTTGCACTATTTTGTACCAAAAGGTACTAACACTTAGAACAGTGTCTTTGTCTAAAGATTCTAACACATCAAAGAGTGGGGAGCAGGTCAGAATAAGGGAGAGTGGTCTACAAGTTCTCTACAGATAAGACATAAACTAAAACAATGATAGTCAAACTTACACAATTAAAACTCACAGCTACAGTAATAAGAATACTTTCTACCAGGAGAGGTTTTCTCACACAAATGTAATGCTAATTTAGCACCATGTTCCTGAATTTCTCTGAAAAGCACCATTATACTAATTTACAAATGAGAAGTTATGCACCTTGCCCAAGACCACACAACTGCAAAGAGGCTGAACCAGAATTCATGTCCAGGTCTGTACAAATGGGAAGTCCACACTTCCTCCATTAATCAGCATTTCCCACAAGGCAGGACACACAAAGGTGGCCTTTTTTGTTGTTATTCTTAATCCTCACCAGCAGATATTTTTTCCATTGATTTTTAGAGGGAGGGGGGGGGGGGAGGAAAAGAAGAGAAATGAGGAGGGAGAGGGAGAAAAAGAGAGAAATATCATGTGAGAAACACATCCATTGGCTGCCACCTGAACATGCCCCAACCTGGGGTGGGGACTGAACCCAGGCACATGCCCTAGATCAGGAATCGAACCAGCGACCCTTTGGTGCACACGCTGTGGTGCTTTAACCACTGAATGCACTGGTCAGGGCAAACTTTTAAGTTCTAATATTATAGTCTTGTTTAAATCCTTATAGTCATGTGTGCATATGTAATATTAAGTAAATAAAAAATTTAAATTATAGACATGAAATAAATTTTACATTTTATGTGTATACATGAAACATAAAAAGTTTCTTAAAAGATAATTTAAAGGAAACATTAGGATAAAAGAACAGGCGATACAGAGATAGGGTATAAATTCTGAGACAAGACATAAATCACTGAAGCTTGTAGAAAACACTGCTCACCAGACCACCACACCACCACCCAAGAACAGCCAAGCACCTGCTTGTTCCATACTGTACTCAAATTTGACTATAGTCACACATAACTCTAACTCTGCTCCAGGGAGATAAAATGTGGCTGCTTTGAGGGGAAGGGCACAACATCAGTACAACAATTTAGCACAAATCATCCTTAACACAGTATTGGTTGACATAAATACTGGTTTGGTGGTCCAACTCCTCTGCTTATCTGCCACACACCTTGATTAAGTCCAGTCCCCTTTTCTGGGCTTCAGTTTCACTTTGTCAAAAGAAAGTTACCACAAAAGTCACTTCCAGTTTTAGAATTCCATAAACTGTTGCAAGATCCTAAAATCCCAAATTATTTTTTCCAGAATCATAGAGGCCCCAATCCTAAATGAGTGTCGATCTGAGAAATAAATGGTCAGTCTATGTTTCCAGAGAGCAAAGTATTAACAGCACAATATATGATAAAGTCCTGTGGAGTACAACACACTTTCTAATGAATGGCATCCCAGGCCACTATACCTCAACTGGGAATGCTATCAATTATGCTGCCCTCTAGAAAGATGTAGCAAGATATGAATTACAGGATGACAAAGATCAGCCAATCAATGTACCTGTCCCAAACAAAACTCTAAAAATTTCCTGCCACTGCCCTAGCCAGTTTGGCTCAGTGGATAGAGCGTTAGCCCAAGCACCTAAGGGTCTTGGGTTCGATTCCTGGTCAAGGGCCACGTTCAGGGCACTTGCAGAAGGCAATCAATAGATGTGTCTCTCTCACATTGATGTTTCTCTCTGTTTCTCCCCCTCCCTTCCGCTCTCTCTGAAAATCAGAGGAATAATACCTGCGATGAGGATTAACAACAAAAAATTTCCTGCCGCTAATTTTTAAATTATTAATTTTCATTACATTTGGTCCTTCATGTGTTGTTTTCAGTCCTTAACAATCAAGTTTATTCTGAGTCAAGGAGAATAAATGGGAAAGAAATCTTTAAAAATCTCAAACTTATATTAAGCCTCATCGGAAAACTACCTGTAAAACTTTTCCAGTTCAATTTGAATTACTCCACAGATGCTCAAACATATTTAGTGTGCCAAACTTCTAAAAGTTGTCACTCCTTATTTTTCAGAAACATTATTAACAGTGGGACCAGAACATTTTTTCTCTATTATTGAATTAGATACATTTATCAAAAGGGAAGTCTTAAGGGAACCCTCCTTGCCTTCTTTACAGAGCCCTTTCTGTGATGTCAGCGGACCTGTAAGCTTTTAAAATAGGGTCTTTAGATTCCAGAAAGAAGTTCTGAAATGCGCTCACTTCTTGTTTAGCTGAAGAAAATAGAGGATGGGTGGGCTGCAACTGACAAACTCAGAAAGCACAGCTGGGTAGCAGGTAATCTTAAAAAAAAAGCAAATCCCTGAGCAAATTGTGTAGCCAATGTTGATCATTATAACTGGAGAGTTGTTACATAATTACTTGTTAACTACTGACAGACAATACATGGCTACGAAAAGCCATGGTTACTCTAGCCATTGAAGACAGTGTAACCAGTGCACCAGTCAAGGTTTCTCCAATTAATTTCGGGACCTATTCCCTTCCAAGGTAACCCAACTGCTTTTACATATACAAAATAGACTCCAGCAATTAAGCCAATAGCCTCTGCGGACGAAATCAGTGTTTCCGGTAATATTGATCTTTAAAGGGGAGACGAGATATAGAAAGAAGTAGGTTCAAAGAACTAAATACTTATCACCTCGATAAAAAAGACTTCATTCTAAACTGGAAATTCTGAACAGAAAAGCCCCCCTCCACACACACACACACACACACACACACAGGCATTCGCCTGGTTCCTGCTCAGCTGGCGCAAAACACAAGACCTGTATCGGATGCACCCCATTCCAACATTTTCCAAAAAGTTTACGAAGATTTACCGAAACGGCGGGAAGAAAAATTAAGCATGCAGAAGCGGGGGAGAGCGAACTGGAGGATTATGGCAAAGAAGAACCCGATGAAGCGCCCAGCAATGCCATGCAAGGCCCGCTAACCGAGTAGTGACCCTGCACTGCACCGGAGGAGCAAGCGCCCCAGTGGAGCGCGGGAACTGACAGCGGTTCGGTTTATGCTGCCGGGGCGAGGTGGGGGGGAAGGGGGGGTAGTCCCCAGCCCAGCCCCCGCCGCCAGTCCCCTCCGCGACCCTTCCCCTGCAGCGCTGCCGTTGCCAACTTGGCCCCGGGTCAGCGCTGCGGATCGCGGCCCCGGTTGCCCGGGAGGCCGCCGGCGCCCTTACCTCCTTCTGCTTGGGGTCCTGCGGGTAGACGTCCGGCGGCCCGAGCCGGGGGCGTTTCAGCGGTCTCTGCTCATAGCTGAGAAGCCCGAAGGCGGCCATGATCTCTCATGTTAACCGGCAAAATGAATGAGAGTTGGAGCTGGAGCTGGAGCAGCCGCCTCTGAGCACCAGGGAGCAGCACTTTGCAGACAGACGACTCCCTCTCTCCCCCTTCTCACTCGCTTGCTCGCTCGCTGTGGCGCTGCAGGAAGAAATAAAGCAGGTTGGATGCTGCCTCTGCCAGGCACGCAGACACGCACTGATGGGGGCAGCCTTCGGCCGGCACCCGGCTGCGCTGGAGCCCCAGGACGCACCGCTTTTGTGCCGGCAAAGGGGCTGCCTCCAGACGCCTCCCTACACACCGGGTCCCCAGGGGGAGGAGAAGCTGATGGGAACCTGCGACTTTTTTCCCCAAAGGACCCAAACCCACGCCAGTCGGACGCAGGGCAAGGCGTGGGGGAGGGGCCCCGGGAGGAAAAAAAAACTTTTCTCGGCGCCCTGGCGGGTGGCCAAGTGTTTGCCCCAGGCAAGGGTGGCCCCTTCAGCCCGGGGCGGAGGCAGCGGAGCGGCCCACCCCCGCCCCTCTTCCTCGGCGGGGATCCTTTGCGGCCGCCACGCGTCCCGCAGACCTCGCCACCTGGGCGCGGAGCCGGCCGGAGCTGAGAGAGAGAAAGAGGCCTGGAGGGGATGGGCAGGCAGGGATGCGGCCGGCGAGGAGGCGGCGGATGCCTCCCGGACGCCCGCTGGGCTCCGGTGGCGCACCGGCGGCTCCGGGCAGGCGCCGAGCCGCGCAGCAGGCGGTCGCGGCGGCTGGAGGGGGCCGTGCTCACCGTGGCGCGGGGCCGACTTAACCCTTTGCTGCCCCTCCAGGGGCTGGGGAAGGGGGTGAGGAGGGTTGGCTGAGCCGGCGGGGGCAGCCATCCCGCGGGCGTCTCGGGCCCCTCCAGGCCGGCGCCCTCCTCCCCGCCGCCGCTCCTCCTCCCACCCACCCCAACAGTTTACCTGTTGGTCCCCCGCTAATGGGCAGGGGCCGGCGGCGGCACTCCGGCGGCCGCAGCCTCCATGATTCGGGTTGGGATGGGGGGTAGGGTTAGATTTTATTTGTAAGATATCAGTATCGTCGGGCCACCTCCGGGGACGCCGCGAAGTTTGCGGCTGTCTGGGGGCGGCAGGCACGCCGCTCGCCGCCGCCGCCGCCGCCGCCGTCCTCGCCCCCGGCCCGGGAGCGCGAGCTTCCGAGTTGGCGGACGGCGGCGCGCCGGCTGCACTGAGCATGCCCAGCTCGGCGGCCGGACCGCGGAGGCGGCGGCTGCGAGCGCCCGGGTCCACCGCTCCGGGTTTTCGCAGCCGCAGAGCGCGCAGCCCGCGGCTCCCGGCGCCGGGACCGGCCCCGGGTGAAAGCGGACGAAGGAAGGGGCGCTCCGGAACCCCGCTCCCGGCCGCGGGCAGCGCCGTCCGCCGCGACCTCTCCTGAGGTCGCTGTCCCCGTGGCCTGGGCTGAAAATCTCACCTGCGCGCGGCGTGCGGAAGGAGGGAGGTGATACTCCAGGGGAGACCTTAGTCCTCCAACCCGCCCGCTCTCCGCGCTTGTTGCGGGGCGTGGGCACCGAGATGCCGGGACACCTGCCCGGAGACTGCGAGGCCCGAGCTGCGGGGGCGGGCCCGGCCCTACCCGAGGGATTCCGCTGCAAGCTGCGCCCGCACTTGGCTAAGAATGATGGCTGCCACTTATGGAGCCTTCATTTGGTGCCAGGACCTTTGACAGTAAAGGTCTCTGACCCTTAAAGAAACCTTACAAGGTTTTACTGTGCCGTTTTTATCGGGAGAGAAACTGAGGCCCAGGGACTTGCTCAGAACCATGTAGCCTGATCCGAAGTTTCTGACCCATTCTCCTGGGCTTGCATTGGAAGTACAGAGTCCTGAACTGCCCGTGACTGATTGTGTCACGTTCCCACACCATAAGGAATTTCTCGGCCCCTGGTTCTAACTTCTGTAAGATGGCGGGCAGAATGTGATCCAAAGACTTTGTACAACGCCTGGCGCATAGTAGGTGCTCAGGAGATGTTGGCCAAATCTGAGTATCTACTTATGATTGTAAGCAAAGGGAAAGGAAGAAAAGAGTAGATAAGGCAGTGCAGTAGAAGCTAGTTTCTCACTCCTGACCTTGGCCTATTAGCACCAAGGCACCTTGAGGCCAAGTCACACCTGTAATTGTTTGGCTTCTTTACTCCATGTGGGCAAGTACTTTGAGAGAACAGTTACCCTCCCTCCACTTGGAGGCATTTTTTTTTTGTCCACCTTCTGCACCCACCCTACCCCAATGACTTATCTTCCACTGATGCCCTGGTGTAACTTCCAAGCTGAACTTGCCCTGTGACATAGGCATCTATCAACTCCTCTTCCTTGCTTGAAAAAAACAAGTTATCTAACTTTATTAGGAAAATTATCAAACATACTATAAAAGCAGAAGAAATGCTGTAATGAACTTCCAAGTACTCATCTTCCAGCTGTGACAGTTATCAGAATTTTGCCATTCTTGTTTTATCTTCCTCACCCCCAGTATATAGACATACACTGGAGAGAACATTTATTGTTCAACCTAGGCACAGCCCAGAATGTGGCACATAGTGGGCACTCAGAAAAAAACGTTCATTTGCTGGTGTGGATGGAAGATAGGTGGGTGGGTGGGTGGATAGGTGTGTGGAAGAATAGATCACTAGTGGTACTTTGGGGATGCCTTGTGCTGATACCGTAGTCCAGTGGTTCTCAACCTTCCTTATGCCGCGACCCTTTAATACAGTTCCTCATGTTGTGGTGACCCCCAACCATAAAATTATTTTCGTTGCTACTTCATAACTAATTTTGCTACTGTTATGAATCGTAATGTAAATATCTGATATGCAGGATGTATTTTCATTGTTACAAATTGAACATAATTAAAGCATAGTGATTAATCACAAAAACAATATGTAATATATGTGTTTTAGATGACCCCTGTGAAAGGGTCATTCCACCCCCAAAGGGATCGCGACCCACAGGTTGAGAACCGCTGCCCTAGTCTGATGGGAGATGTAACCTAAATTCTCCCCCTGTATACCTAGGCAACAACCTCTACCTGGCCTCCACAAAGGAGAAATTGTTGAATCACTCAAAATCTTAGCTAACCGTAAAGATTTCATTTTAAAATCAAAATGTGTTAATAATGTGTCTCTAGGGTTTGAGGCTGGAGGGAAAAGGATAGCTCTCCCCCTGTTGGTCTCCCTTCATAGCTTTCTTAACTCTTTCCCTTGTTTTGAGACAGCCTGGCATGGGTTCATTAAGAGAGAGCTTTAATACATTCAAATATCATTTAATTCCTCAAAAATCATTCTTTCACTACATGGACTACCCATGGGAATTTTGCTCCCTCACCCTGGCATTTGTGCTCTCCCCAATCCACACCCATTTACCAATCCAACAATTTCTCCTTAATCCCTGGCCTCAGTTAGCTCTCACTACTATTCCCAAATAAGGAATTCCCAGCCTTCATTTTTTGGTAGCTACCTGGGGACAGTCCCTGGAGTCTGGATTATATGAAGCTCACCCCAAACTCTTTAAAAAATACGTTTTTATTGATTTGAAAGAGAGAGGAAGGGAGGGAGAAGAGAAAAAGAGGAAGGGAGTGGGGGAAAGAAACATCAATATAAGAGAGAAACATTAATCAGCTGCCTCCTGCACACTCCCTACTAGGAATAGAGCCTGAAACCCAGCATGTGCCCTAACAGGCAATCCAACCAGCGACCTTTTAATGCATGGGATGATACTCAACCAACTGGGCCACACCTGCCAGGGTCCAACTCAAACTCAAAGTACATGATTCTTCATTTCTTTCAGTCCCCTTAGCACAGTGGTTCTCAACCTTCCTAATGCTGCGACCCTTTAATACAGTTCTTCATGTTGTGGTGACCCCCAACCATAAAATTATTTTCCTTGCTACTTCATAACTAATTTTGCTACTGTTATGAATTGTAATGTAAATATCTGATATACAGGATGTATTTTCATTGTTACAAATTGAACATAATTAAAGCATAGTGATTAATCACAAAAACAATATGTAATTATATATGTGTTTTCCAGTGGTCTTAGGCGATCCCTGTGAAAGGGGCGTTTGACCCCCAAAGGGGTCGTGACCTACAGGTTGAGAACCGCTGCCTTAGCATGTATATTTCACTAGCTCTTCTTTTAACACCTCATTATTTATTGGCATGCATTCAGCTATGCCACAAAAAACAGTCTTGTTTCCCCATCCCTGCCTTACTCTCTTGCTCTCCTTCCATTCTTGAATTCATCTTTAAGCTGACTTAAGCCAGTTGACATAGTGGGCTTAACATGGAAGCCACTGTGTTCTATGGTCTGCTTCAATTTCCATCACGGTGCTGGTTAACACAATGGATAACCACAAATTCTGGAAAAATGTGAGTCTCATTTGCTACTGTCCCTGTAATGGGCATCTTATCTTCACCAGGCTAATGACAGCCCCCCTTCCTGAGCCTAGGAACAGTTTGTGTGGAACAGGATTACTCAGAGAAAACCATAGGCTTCCCTAGACCTCAGCCTAGAAAGAAGGCGAGTTCAGACACCTGAGGAAGTTTAGTATAGCTGGTGAGAGAAAGGGGTTGAAATGTGGCTGGGAAAGGTGGAATTATAAACCATTTTAAACATATGGGACTTTATCCTCCAAAGATGACGCTAACTGTCTAGAGCTGCTTCTGTGCATTGACAAGTATTTAAAAGCTGACCCTTTTTCTTGGTCATCTTCAAGGGCTTCTCAAAGACCACTTAGTAACTAACCTCCCTGGCTGATTATGCTCCTACTGTAAGCCCTGGTCTTCAGAATTCTGCAAGGAGTTTCCTCATAGTTGAGACCTCTCCTTTTTTTAAATCCTCACCTAACGATATTTTCCCCATAGATTTTTAGAGAGAATGGAAGGGAGAAGGAGAGACAGAGAGAAACACCGATGTGAGAGACACATCAATTGGTTGCCTCCCTCCACCAGGAACGGGAGCCTACAACTGAGGTACGTGCTCTCGACCAGAATTGAACCAGGAACCCCTTAGTCCCCAGGCCAACACTCTATCCACTGAGCCAAACCGGCTAGGGTGAGACCCCTTTTCTTTGGCAGTCCCTTTAAGATGGCCCATGGCTGGCTTTCTCTTTCTATGTTTGGTCTGCAGAAAACACACAGATGTCCTTTGTCTGCACATACTCTAGTGCAGGCATTTTCTCACAGCATGGATGCATCCTGCATGCCACACTTCTTCACCTTCAACGTTCTCTAGTCTAAGCCAGTAGACAAATGTCAAGTGCCCAGGCTAATTGTCTTTTCAAAACTCTTTTCACAAGACTTGAGGTCAGGACTACAATTTCTTTAGCAAAAGGCAAAGACACAATTGTATTTGCAGAGCAGGTTTCAAAAAATGAGAGTAGAGAATGGCTAGGAACAGAGGCAGGGTATTCCCCATCAGAAGAGGAAGAATGATCCTGTTAACTATTTTGCAGATTAGCTGGTGAAGTTCTAGAGGTAATGTAACTGGTACAAGCCAGGATCAAACTGAGATTCCTCTGACTGTCCAACTGAGACTCATTATTGTCAGTGTGCTACAGGTATAAAAAATAATTTACATAACATGTAAAAGTGAGCCTCAGTAGACAGGTCTGGTATAAGAGAAGCAAAACTCCCAACAGCTCACTCTGGAATAGAACATGCTTCCACTCAGGTGGGAAGACACAATTCTCAGTGCAGGGTCTGTAGGTAAAGTTGCTGTGTCTCCCCCTGGGATTGATGCTTGTCCAGGGATATATAGTACTGTGTTTTTGTTTTGTTTTTTTAATTAAATCTTTATTGTTCAGATTATTACAGTTGTTCCTCTTTTATCCCCCATGACTCCCCTCCACGCAGTTCCTACCCCACCCTCTGCCCTTACAGACCCCCCCACTGTCCTCATCCATAGGTGTATGATTTTTGTCCAGTCTCTTCCCACACCCCCACAACCCTTTCCCCCTACCCTGAGAATAGTTAGTCCACTCCCTTTCTATGCCCCTGATTCTATTATATTTACCAGTTTATTCTGTTCATCAGATTATTTATTCACTTGATTTTTAGGTTCACTTGTTGATAGATGTGTATTTGTTGTTCATAATTTGTATCTTTACCTTTTTCTTCTTCTTCCTCTTCTTAAAGGATACCTTTCAGCATTTCATATAATACTGGTTTGGTGGTGATGAACTCCTTTAGCTTTTTCTTATCTGTGAAACTCTTTATCTGACCTTCAATTCTGAATGACAGCTTTGCTGGATAAAGTAATCTTGGTTGTAGGTTCTTGCTATTCATCATGTTGAATATTTCTTGCCACTCCCTTCTGGCCTGCATAGTTTCTATTGAGAAATCAGCTGACAGTCGTATAGGTACTCCCTTGTAGGTAACTGACTGTTTTTCTCTTGCTGCTTTTAAGATTCTCTCTTTGTCT